CAGCGAATAAAGACGCTTGCATACAAAACCAGGCCTCTAATTTTTAATTTTCTTATAAAGCGACTCAAAAGTGACTTGATGGATTTATAGATTTTATAAATTAAAATTTATAATTTATAAATTATAAATTAAACCATGAAAATCAACAACAAAAAGTAATCGAAGTCGAGTAAAAATTAGAGGCCTCATTTTGTATGCAAGCGTCTTAATTCACTGTACGATCGAGTCACGTTTGAGTCCTCACGAATCGACGGGTGAACCCTTTTAAAGGTATCCCTATTTGGTTTCAAATTTTCGCATTTTCACTAGAAAAACTTCAAACACGTATAACTTTTTACAGGAAAACATTTTGCAAAAACGAAAAACAGATTCGAAATCAGCGTCGAATGGTTTATGGTGGTGTCTCGTTTGAAAACGTCCTAGTATTGCCTTTCCCTTGTGAGCTTCTTTTAAAAATATTCAGATTGTAATAGTGCTAGCGAATCGAAAAGAAAAAGGGTTAGTGCGTGTGATGTGGCTGGTGATGATTGTGTCTGTGTCTGAATATTTCTTTCTGTTTCCCCTTCTGGATTCTTTCCCTTTTTCATGTCCCACAACCAACTGAATTATGTAACGTCCCCCCGGGTTTTTTTTTTACTTTCCTGCCTTTGTGACGCTTTTGCCAGACAGAAAGTTTCCAGATTTTTCCAGATTTTTTTTTTTTTGAAAAACTTTATAAAAATTGCACCAACAACAGGAAGATACCCGAAAATGAAAATGAAAATATAAATAGAATTGAAGAATTGAATGTTAGCAAGAACATTGAGATTTCTGGGTGGGAGCTGGGAAAGACGGCTTCAGCTCAATAGCTTCTTCCCATGCGGGTTCGCGGGCTTGAGGCATTACGAGAGCCTGAAAAGTTGCATATTTTTTTGCATACAAATGCACCAGAAGGGATTTGTTTAGATTTTTAAGCTCAAAATATAGCAAAAGAATAGTCAAGCCGATACTGAAGTCTTTGTGCCGAAAAATAGACTTTTTCTATAGAAAAACACACCTTTTCTGCTTTTCTAGCGAATTCAACTCTTGAATTTTGATCAGTAAAATGATCAGTTTTTTTAAAAAATGCTTTTACAATTGTTTGCCAAGTAAGATGGGTTTACATTTTGAGTACAAAGTACACCTGGATGAGTACAAAGTACACCTGGATGAGTACAAAGTACACCTTGATGAGTACAAAGTACACCTGGATGAGTACAAAGTACACCTTATGAGTACAAAGTACACCTTATGAGTACAAAGTACACCTTATGAGTACAAAGTACACCTTGATGAGTACAAAGTACACCTTGATGAGTACAAAGTACACCTGGATGAGTACAAAGTACACCTTATGAGTACAAAGTACACCTTATGAGTACAAAGTACACCTGGATGAGTACAAAGTACACCTTATGAGTACAAAGTACACCTTATGAGTACAAAGTACACCTGGATGAGTACCTGGATGAGTACACCTGGATGAGTACAATCAACTCATCAATTTCAATCGTAACTTTCAATCTTAAATGTCAATCCAATTTCAATCCAATGTCAATCCAATCTCAATCGAAACTTGTTCAATCCTAAAAACTAACTTGTCGCGTGATCGCCTCAAATAGAATATTGATATTATGTCCAACTTTGGCCGACGTCTCGAAATAGGAGACTTTCAGCTCATCAGCTAGTTTCTCCGCCTCTTCCGGGGAAACCTAAGGATATAAAATTGTAAATTTGTGATTACAGAATATAAATTTGTGATTACAATATATAAATTTGTGATTAGCATAAGATTAAAATCTGAGTCTGACCTCTCGATCATCTCGATCATTTTTATTCCCACAAATGATCACAGCTACATCGACTGTACTCTTTTCTCGCACCATGTTCACCCATTTTTTCACCGAAAAACGAATGAATTTAAATATAAATACTATTAGATTTTGTAAATAATAAAAGAAATAAATAAGTAAATAAAAGAAATCAAAATACTATGGCAAGAAATTTCATAGAAAACGTTTGCACGGTGACTCCTCAAAAGCTAGAGCATATATTGTTCAAGATAATTGTCATTTTTAAGAATTCTGCCATTTATTGGGCAAAGCGCGGTTTCCTTTTTCCCAAAAATTCTTTGGCGGACAAAGAAACCACCAGTTTTCAACCTCAGCTCGATCCCCGAAGTGCTCATTGGCGAGTTCTGCAGCTAGCTTTTCGAAAAGATGGAAATTGGCAAGGTTTGGGAAATGGGAAAGAGTCTTCCACTCTAACTCCTTCAATTTCTCTTTTGAGATTGATAACATGAGCTCTGAAGCAGAACTTTTCCTTTGTTTAGTCGTTTTTTTTGTGATTTCATCCACTTTATCCAACTGTATAATGTGCTGTAACAGTGCTTTTAGGTAGCAATTCCCAGTAAACAACTCCTTCAAACATTATCCTATAACATTATCTTCTTCTGGAGTTCTGGTTTCAGCTCAGGTTTACTTTTTCTCCGAGTAACCCATTGCTTGTGTCTTGGATAGTTGAAATATGCTCACTTTTCATCACCAGTAAGAACATGTAGAATAAAAGAAGAACAATAAGATATCGGTTGTCTTGAAAGAAGAGCGGTTGAGATTGAGAGACACTGCCATCTCATCACATTAGTCAGAGCCTCAACAATCAATGAGCTATAGCTCATTGTCTCATGAGCTATAGCTCACGTCTTCAATGAGCTATAGCTCACTGTCTTCAATGAGCTATAGCTCACTGTCTTCAATGAGTTATAGCTCACTGTCTTCAATGAGCTCATTGTCTCATTGAATAGCTCATTGAATGATTGTTATGTGAGAAATCTGAAGTTGTTCTCCCAAATTGTTTGTTATCGATTTGTAAAAGATTGACAAGAGTTGTTTTATCGAAAGCTCGACTCGGCAAAGAAAAGTCTCTTGAAACAGCTGACCTTTCTTGAAACAATGATACTATTTGTATATGATTGGTCGACAGCCTTGTCCATAAACAGTTCTAATTTCTTCATGAATTGTCTCTAAATAGAGAGAAATCTCTTAAAGAGAGAAATCAAAGACAAAAGAAATTCTACAAACTCTCTTGCCAACCTAATAGCTAGACAGGCTTAGAGATATAAAAATGGCTGTAAAAATAGCTGTAAACCAATATAATGTAGCTGTCGAATGACTAAAGCCAACTCGAAGTACTCACTTGAGCAAAAGAATCTCGACTACTCACATCAAACATCACAATCGCTCCTCGAGCCTCTCGAATATACGATGGGATTAAACTATGAAATCTCTGAATCGACAATGAGCTAGAGTTTGAAGCTAGAGTTGAATGCAACCTCTTGTCCAGCTGTATCCCATATTTGTATCCTCACCGGTCTTCCATCAACCATTATCGTTCTTCCCGTAAAATCGATCCCAATCGTCGGTATATTTGTTTCAACAAAACATCGATCAATGAATTTTGTGATCACTGTCGTTTTTCCAACTCCCGATGCACCAAGAAATATTACCTTAATAAAGTTATAGCTAATTTTAAGAGTGATGGCTTGTTGGCTTTGTTGTTGACATTGTTGGCTACTTTGGAGAACAGTTAACAAGTAGTTAACAAGTAGTTAACAAGTAGTTAACAAGTAGTTAACAAGTAGTTAACAAGTAGTACTAATCCTCACCTTCAACTTGCTCAAATCAGCCGAACTGACGGATTGCATTTGAAAAAAAAAATCAATAACTCTTTCAAAAGTTCATTCAATTAAAAGACAAGACAAGACAAAGAAAATATTGAATTGAGTGACACTGCTCGTTTTCTTCTTCTTTCTTCACTTTTTGTAGATAAGAATCTCTTGCTTTCGAGCTTTTTTTCAATAAAATATTGAAATTAGAAATTAGAAAACGCTTCAAAAATAAAAACATTGGGGGTGGGACAAATGCTACCTTTTTTTTGCGCACCTGAACATTTGCGCACCTTTTTTTTGCTGGAAAAGGCCTTAGGCAAGGCCGTAGAGCTTCGAAAATATTTCCATATAAGGGAATCGTATGCGTAGATTCAGAATTTTGACAAATCAAACCTCGCTGACGCGTCAAATTAGGGCTAAAAGGCAAAAACTACGCAACTTAACGCTTTTCCGCAGTTTTTGCATTTTAGCCCAAATTTGACGTGTCAGCGAGGTCTGATTTGTCGAAATTCGGAATCTACGCATACGCTTCCCTTATATGAACAGATTTTTGAAGCTCTACGACCTTTCCTAAGGCCTTTTCCAGCAAAAAAAAAGGCGCGCAAATGTCCAGGTGCGCAAAAAAAGGTCGCATTTATCCCACCCCCAAAACATTCATAAAAAACATCTTTCTAAATGATTTTTCTCCGAATCTCCCCAAATCGATTGCTTTTTTTTAAGCAAGAAAAGCTTATAATTTATTGGAAATAATTTATGTCTAAAAAATTATTTTCCAAAGTTTAGAAATCATTTTCAATAACATTAGAAAAACATTAGAAACATTAGAAATCATTTTCAATACCGTAAATACTGTAATAGTACCCCACCCCCATAATGACGGTGGGGAGTGTTGGGTAGTCTAGCTTTGAACGAGTTTTTCTCGACACTGGTTTATGCTAGAATGCGCGCGTAGGTATCAAAAAATAGCCCTGAATTTCAGCTATTTTTTGATATTAAAGACGCATTTTTGAAAGTACGGGCGCTTTGAAAAAATGAAATACTAAAAAACTTTTGCGACTACGCGACTATACGAGGGCGGTGGGGTGCTATTACAGTATTTACGGTAGTCTTTTTTTGTATATTTTCAAGGGCTTCATTTTCAAAACATAAACTTTATTATATTGCACATGAAAGTTGTGACGTGAAAAGCAATGACCCGTAGAGAAGAAAAGAAAGAAAGAAAGCGAAACTCATTAAAGGTTGAGGTATACAGTGAGGAGTTGTTATGAAATATTTAGAAAAATGATATTATATTATATTATATTGAAATTGTTCAAAAATTCCCAGCCAATTTGAGCATTTCCTCGCGAATTCTTTTGACTCTTTCGATTTCTTGGCGAGTTTTCTCGCACTCGGCTTCCACCAGGGATAACTGAAACAAAATGATATCAAATCTTTCTAGTTTCTAGTTTTAACCTCTCAAATAACCCATTTTTAAAAATATTTCAACTTTTCCATACTTTAAATCTATAATTTCAAAGCCTAAAATAAAATGTCGATTTTCGAAAATTATTTTATTTATTGTAAAGGGTGGCCGCAAAATATAGATGTTGTGTCCGATTTAGATTTCCGATTAGATTGAACTTATCGCGGACGTCCGATTTAGATTACAGTCTAAATCGAACGTCCGATATAGACTGTAATCTAAATGGGACGTCCTATATAGACTGTAATCTAAATCGGACGTCCGCGATAAGTTCAATCTAAATCGGACACAACATAGAGACAACTTTTTGAAAAAACTATCTGCCAAATGACTTACTTTTTTTTTAATTTTTTATTTTTTTTTTTGCTCCCTTTTTCTTGGCTTTTTTTATTTAACAAAAACTTCGATTTGGGATAAAAAAAAAAAAAAAAAGAAAGGGTTTGTGAAATAATTTTTTTTTATTTTATTTATTAACTTTATTTTTTTTGTGTATACCCTATTTTATATAGAGAATTGTATCCCTAATTCTTGGCTACATTTATCTACAAAAAACTTCCCGATTGGACTTATAGAGCTCATTTCAGAAGCGCTTGAATGAGCGCTAGTCGGCAATTTGTCGACATCTCTCCAACGAATCTGTCATTTTTCACGATTTTCTACATTAAAAAATTTCATTCGAAAAAGTCTTTTTTTTAGTTCAATTTATGGGAATTTTGTTTACGAATTTGTTTACGAATTGTTTTCAACGAATTTCTAGCGCCAGAACAGCTGAACTGAATATCGAGAATACTCAATTTTCACTTTTTTTCCCTGCTTCTCCAAAAGAAGCTTGCCATCAACTTCAATTTTGGTTATGCCAGTTCAGCCAAAACTGTTAAGTTCAATTAAGTTTGATTCTTAATGTTTTTAGGTGATGTTGGCAACATTTATCTACCAAAAGCATCCCGATTGGACTTATACAACTCATTTAACAAGCGCTTGAATGAGCGCTAGTCGACATCTCTCCGGCGAATCCGTCATTTGGCCACTTTTCTACATGAAAAAATCTCATTCGGAAAAGTTTTTCGCAGTCAAATTTGTGGTAATTTTGTCGAAAAAAAAATTGTTTCCAACAAATTCATAGCGCCAGAACAACTGATATAACGAGATACGCATATGAACTGAATATTGAAAATACTCCCTGCTCCTCCCTGCTCCCTGCTCCTCCAAAAGGAGCTTGACATCAACTTAAATTTTGGTTATGCCAGTCCAGCCAAAACATTTAAGTGTGATTCCTAATGTTATTAAGTGATATTAAACGCTGTTTTTACATTGAAGGAATATTGAAAAGCTTTTCTTAACAATTTTTAATAGAGAAAAGCAGCCAAATGACAAATTCGTTGGAGAGATGTCGACTAGCGCTCATTCAAGCGCTTCTTAAATCAGCTCTATAAGTCAAATCGGGAAGTTTTTTGTAGATAAATGTTGTTGAGAATTAGGGCTACAATTCTCTATATAAAACTTGATACTTCTAAAATACGCTAAGTCATATACTTTATCCAAAAAGTTGTCACTATACTTTGCGGTTATCCTGTAGTTACTAGGGTGTGTTCCTCGCGAGTAAGTAAATTACTCGAGTAAAAGCTTGATTCTTAATGTTATTAAGTGATGTTAAACGCTGTTTTTACATTGAAGGAATATTGAAAAGCTTTTCTTAACAATTTTTAATAGAGAAAAGCAGCCAAATGACAAATTCGTTGGAGAGATTCGCCGGACACTAGCGCTCATTCAAGCGCTTGTAAAATGAGTTGTACGAGTCGAATTGGAAATTTTTTGTTAGATAAATATAGCTAAGAATTAGGGCTACAATGCTCTATATAACAATTGACAGGTCTAAAATAGGTTAGGCATTTCCCAGATACTTTTCCAAATGACAAATTCGTTTGGAGAGATTTCGACTAGCGCTCATTCAAGCGCTTGTTTGAGCCCTCAAGACAAGCGCTCATTCAAGCTTGAGCTCTATAAGTCGTTATGCCAGTTCAGCCATTTCAATCAAATTTGAACACTTGTCTTTTGAAAAGAAAATGATTTTTTTTAATTTATTTATCTTTATTCTCACCCTTTCCTGCATCTCTTTCTTCTCGGCTTCCAAACGATTTTTCATTGCAGAGAAATCTTTTTGATATTGCACTCGTTCGATTTCGAAATTTCTTCTAAATTGTAAAGTAGGCGAGTAAAAATGTTTTTAATCTCAGTGTTGTACTTTAAATAGATCATTTCCACCCACCTCATTTCCTCTTCTTTTTGTTCTCGTCCCCCAACCGCTCGTGTCAATTTCTCTTTGCACGCGTGCAACTCTTCCTCGGAAAATACCTATAATATTTACAAAATTTTTGATTTAGCTTTTTTTAGCTTCAAACACTCAAAGCGTAAATCCAAAGCTCCCAAAACTCAATTCTGTGCACTCACCGCTCGTTTCCTCGTCTCCGATAAACTCTTCTTCAACTCATCGATCTCATTATCTTTATTCACCGATAGAGTGGCCGATTGTTGACGGGATTCTGAAAGATATACAGCTAATTGATCGCCGTTTTCTTATCTAACCAGCTAGATCAGCTGTGAGCACTTTTTTCTCTTCAAGCAGCTCCTCGCATCGTTGCTGTTTCTCGAGGGCGAGTGTCGAAGCTCTGAACAAAAATAGTGACAAGATTCTGACCGGAAAACACCGGAAAACAGATAGTTCAGGATAAAAGTTTTCTGATTATAAGCTCAGCGAATTTGTCTTTTCTTGAGTTAAGAAAAGAAAAAGAATGAACATTTGGAAAAAGGAAAGGAGCGGTCAGCGACTGAGCTGGTCAGCGACTGAGCTGGTCAGCGACTGAGCTGGTCAGCGACTGAGCTGGTCAGCGACTGAGCGGTCAGCGACTGAGCTGGTCAGCGACTGAGCTGGTCAGCGACTGAGCTGGTCAGCGACTGAGCTGGTCAGCGACGGAGCTGGTCAGCGACTGGGCTGGTCAGCGACTGAGCTGGTCAGCGACTGAGCTGGTCAGCGACGAGCTGGTCAGCGACTGAGCTGGTCAGCGACTGAGCTGGTCAGCGACTGAGCTGGTCAGCGACTGAGCTGGTCAGCGACTGAGCTGGTCAGCGACTGAGCTGGTCAGCGACTGAGCTGGTCAGCGACTGAGCTGGTCAGCGACTGAGCTGGTCAGCGACTGAGCTGACGATCCTCCGCCTTCTGAACGCCACTATGCTCAGATCTTTGGGACCAATTTTGCCTTACGTTTCTCCGTATCTTTTGTTGTCATTTAATTCGAATGCCTACAGTCATTGAAGTTCTTACCTCTCAAATTTCTCCTTCATTTCTTTCGCAGCTTGTCTCAATTGTCCACTCAAATCCACTTCACGTCGATTCTCTTCAACGAGTAAATCTTTTGCCGTCAATGCATCAAAGAGTCTGAAAAAAAATGGTAAAAGATGTTTAATCAGATAGTTTAGTCAACTTTTTTTTGAATTGAAGTTATCTTTTAGAATTTTAGAATTTCACTCACTCCTTTTCTGTCTTCATCTTCTCATCAACGAGGCGCTCATTTTCTGTGATCAATGTTCTCATTTTTGATATCTAAACAAGTATTTTTATAAGAGAAAATGTAAAGAAAAAAAGATCAATTAACTTTTTCAACAATTATAACCAAAAATATCCCATCACAAACCTCATTTTCATTACTCAAACTTGTCGATTTTGTCGTTATTCTGAGTCGTTCACTTTGGGATAGAGCTTGCTCTTTGCTCACGAGTAAAGCTGAATATCTTTTAGCTTAAATAAATAAATAAATAAATAAATAAACGGGGTAGGCTAGTTTCCGCAAGCTTTTTTGCGCAACTGGGTCATTTGCGCAACTGGATCATTCGTGCAACGCACCATAACTTTCTTCTAAGTGGGCTAATCTTTATTATTTTGGTCTCATTTTGTAGATCTCAATAAGTGCAACAAAATGACACCAAAAGCATAAAGATTAGCCCACTTAGAAGAAAGTTATGGTGAGTTGCACAAATGATCCAGTTGCGCAAAAAAAGTTGCGGAAACTAGCCTACCCCAAATAAACACATAAATAATTTCCCTTCCCCATTACCTTCAAGCTCTTTTCTTTTCGTAGCATTTGTGCAATTTTCCCTTCATAAACGGCCACCACATCGGATTGTTTAAGCGCTCCGTGCTAAAATAAAAAGCTTACGATTTTTGGTATGATAGATGGAAATTTGAATCTTAAACTGATCGATAAACAAGCTTTTGTATCGAAACGTACAATTTAAGCACACTTTCGTTTAGCTATAGTTGATTTACTTAGCTACTTCGTTTAGCTATAAAATTTTGATTTACTCACATCAAAATCTCTCCTCAATCGATCCAGCACATCATCGAGCACTTTTCTCACGTTTTTTCCATTTAACTAAAGACTTTTTTAAAAAGCTTTTATTCTTTTTTATTGCTTTTATTGCTTTTTATTGTTTTTATTCTTTTTTTAAAAGCTTTTATTCTTTTTTTAAAAGCTTTTTCAAAACCTACCTCTTGGTTTATTGGCTCGAAAATGACCTCGGTTTCAGTTGATCTGAAAACAATTTTGTTTCTTGGAATTTTAACGACCAATGTTCATTGCAGGTGTTACGGTGTACTTTGTTTTTCAAAACACACCCTATTTGATGCACTAGAAAAGATGCGTTTCAGAAAAATCCTCACCTTCTCGCTTCGTTGCTTGTATTCAAAGAGGCTGAACTCGACAAGGGATTTTCTTTTAAGCGTTTTTCAATGATATTTGATGCAATCATATCAGCAAGTCTGAATTTAATATACCATATTTTCTGTAATAGTAGTGCAGTCTATAATAGTAGCGCAGGCTGGAGGGAGCTGAAAAAATAGTAGTGCGCACTACTATTACAGAAAATACGGTAATTTTAATATAAAATTTGAAAATTCTGTTTCAAAACCTGTACCTTCTTGTCGGAAAATCGTGCACTTGAGCACAGTGATTTAGAACGACTAAGGCATTATAAACCTAAAGAATTTTAAGTTAAAAATTGAAAACAAATTTTTCTTCAACCTGTTCATGTCTTCCATTTGTTAAAGCAAAACCTAAAAAAGGCACCAAGCGTTCATCCTAAATATTGAAAGGTTTTTATTGTAAATTTGATTGTAACCTTGATTGTAACTTTAATTGTGACTTTGATTGTAACTTTGATTTTGACTTTGATTGTAACTTTAATTGTAACTTAATTGTCACTTTGATTGTAACTTTGATTGTAACTTTGATTGTAACTTTAATTGTAACCTTGATTGTAACTTTAATTGTAACTTTGATTGTAACTTTCACTTACTCTCAATGATCTCCAATATTGATCTTTATGTGCTTTTGAGGTATCTTTTAGAGCGGCCAAAAGTCGCAACAATTCGAGAATGATCGAAGCACCGTGTTCACTGAACAACAAGAATTAAATGCTAGCTGAATTGATCGTTAAAAAAAAGCCTTTCTTTTGTACTTTTTGAGTCTATTGGTTAAAATTCGAATTCACCTCCAAATCGGTAAAATCTCATTTCGACTCTGTGGTGGTTTGTGCATTTGTACGGCGATTGGATTGGTCATCAATTGCGTTTCAGCTAAATGAGAGCAGAGTTGACTGGAAGTGACCGCGAGGAGCGAGGCACGAATTTCGTCATCACCGGAGAGCACTGAAAAACGATCTACACTTTTAGATCTACACTTTTAGATTTTTGAATTCTTTTTTAATCTAATCCTGGAGCTTGTTGTTCGACTAGTCACCAACCTTCAGCCATGCGCAGCGCTTCACAGATGCGTTCACATTGTTTCCCAACGAGATCGCTGAAAGTTTGAGATAATTTAAGAAGATCTTATTGCCAGCTAAGCTTCAATGCAGCTTTATCTATAGCTTTATCTATATCTATAGCCTTGTCTATAGTATCTATAGTACTAATGTACCTGCCCGTGTCGATTGTCGTCTTCACATTCTCCTCGAGAATTTGCATTAATCGTTCACACGGGATATAGTCGGCTACTGGTTGCCCGCCATCCACAGCTTCCTAATTGAATCTTTTATCAATTTCTAAGTGATAAGCCCACTTTCAGAAGATAATTCAATAGTTGAAGTGCCCTAATCGGTGTCAATGAATCGATGGCCTCGTTGAAGGGGAGACAGCCAGTTTTTGCGATTGCTAAATTGATGAAGTACATCATTTGCACGACTTTCGCAATACTATTATACTGTGAAATACATGAATTCTATTAAAAAGTATACATTTCTTCAACATAAATAATATGACACAAACAAATACACTGCCCTAATACCCCTAAAGATGTTGCAGAGAAAAATCCCTGAGAAAAAGCCAAATTTTCTAGCGGCTGGGATCGACCTCTCGACTAGGATCCAAGACTCCTAACCTGTCAGCCATGAGAGCATGATGAGCAAGGAGATAAATGTTTCTATAGCTTACCGATAATTGGTGTTCGAAGCTCGCCGGATGAGCCTTTCCAGTGGAGAATCGCTTGACAAATCGGAGATCGGACACTTGAAAGAGAACAGAGAGAGATCAGCAATTCGAGGATCTGGAAATCGATTTAAATAAGATCTATAAATCCTAATTAATTAGCTTTACCTTACTAGTCTCCTCAAGTAATGGATCAACAGACAGTAGTAAGCCGGCCACTTTCTGGATACAAGCGTTGAAGTGAGAGTAGCAGACCAAATCGCGTCCTGTGGCCGTGATTACGGGTTGGGAGGATATCTGAGAAGAATTAATACAACATTTTTTTTTGAATAAAATGTTCTTACTGTAGGCGCTTCACTGATAACCATTCTTCTTAAGAGATCACAGGCGACATGTCTCGTCAATGGGGCATCGCCAAGCACTAACACGTTGAAGACGCATTGAAAAGTCATTGAGAGATTTGCCGGTGAGTAGACCTGAAGATTTAAGAGTTAAAGGTTTAAATGAAGATCTAGAATTTGCAGATAGCTTTCCTCATTTGCTCATTGCTTACAAGTAGGCTTACAAGATCTAGAATTTGCTCTCCTCATTTGCTCATTGCTTACAGGTAGGCTTACAAGATCTAGAATTTGCTCTCCTCATTTGCTCATTGCTTACAGGTAGGCTTACAAGATCTAGAATTTGCTCTCCTCATTTGCTCATTGCTTACAAGTAGGCTTGTTAACGACAAAAACGAATTAAAACAAAAATTTGCATTTATTTGCATAGATCTCTATGAAAAACATTTATTTTCACTTTCAAATTTACTTGAAAGTGAACCGAAATTGACTTAAAAAGATGGGAAATTAAACTATAGAAAACTATAGATCAATTGATAGATTAATAGAACTATATAAAACTATAGATTAATTGATGAATTTGTTATTTTTCAACGAGGAATTTCAAAGGAATGAAAAGACTTTCTCAAAAGCCTAACAATACTTTTTTTGCGCCCAAGAATGCACAAGAATATCGAACTTTATGTAGAGTCTTGTGGTCAGTGAAATACCAGCGGAACTCTTTTCTAATGGGTTAAGTACGAATTGTTGTGCGTTATTTTGTGATTTTAAACCCACCACATCTCGAATTTTCTCCTCAAGATAGCCAATCAAAACAAGACAAGAGACAACGACCTTAAAATCGATTTAAAATGTTTTCACAAATAACCAATCGAGTTATTTGACAAATATTTTCACAAATAACCAACCAATCGAGAGTCGTGTTGAAGTAAACGAATCAAACGCTTTGAAAATGGCTTATAGTTTGACTGAAATATTGTTTTAAATTAAGATTTTCATTTATTTCATTTATTTATTTCATTTATTTTCATTTATTTTCATTTATTTCAAACCGATTTTCGTATCCTCATCCCCGCCGATTTTGATCTTGTCGTTAAATTACACAAAATTGCTGTGGAAAATGGTAACCATTCAGCTTCCGGCTCTTTTATACTAGAAAAGAAAAAGAAATGAATCGTTTTTACAACTTTACAATTAACAACTCACACATCAGCGATGAGAAAAGAAATCAAATCATTTGCCCACAAGCCAAGAATGAGACATTTCTCGTAGGTGAGCACCTGTAAAGTAAAAGAAGCGATGGAAAATATTGATTTCTAATACTTGTAAAAGTTTGAGTAAATCAAGTAAAACATCTGGTCCATTCTCCTCTTGAACTGAGACTTTTAAAGCTTGCCAAACGGCAGCACAAAGCTCCAACGCGGAACACATGTGACGACGAAGAGAGACATTGTGAATCCCTGGAAATGAGCTGCGGATAAGGATGGTTTAAAACGTTTCTTCCTAGCTGACATAAGTGGGTTGGTAGCCGAGTGGATAACTCATTAGGGTTCACTGGATCAGGGTTCAATCCCTGATGCAGCTTTTTGTTTTTCTTTTGGAGCAACCTTTGGAGGCTAATTGCATTATTGCATTTCTCAGCCATCGTTTAGCCTCTAGCCATTTCTCTAGCCATTGCTTGGCTTTTTCTTTGACTTCTAGCCATCGTTCAACTAGTTTGTTTGGCTTTTCCCTTTACTTGATCTGACTTTTGACTTACCTAAGTTATAAAGAAATTGAACGATAAGATTTCGGGTTTTAGCGCCACTTGTCGAATTTGTGAGTAGAATGGGGCAAAGCGGGAGAAGCTCGGATAAAGAAGTTGATGGGTTGAGACGAAGACGAGAGACACGATGCACCGAGTTTGTGGCTGAGACGAGGAGCTGAATGAAAGCTTTGTGTTATCACAACGATATCCTATAACTTGAGCAATAAGACTCTAGCACAACTACAATATTCTCAATCCTTTTCTACCTTTAATGTATCCTCAAAACGATAGCAATTCTCGGTTGTTGGATCGCCATAAAATCTCGTCGCCGCTCCAGCGGCTCTCTGGAAATTTGCATAACAAAAGCTATTGACTTTTTAAAAAAACCCTTATATCGACCTCAATATCGAAGCCATCTGTTCCCATTAGATTTCCTAAAAAAACTTGTATATGTTGTGTTCGATTTAGATTGAACTTATCGCGGGCGTCCGATTTAGATTACAGTCTATATCGGACATCCGATTTAGATTCAACCTAAACAATCGGACGTCTTATATAGATTGAACAATAATATAAACATGCTTAATATATTTTCTTAAGCGTTTTCTGTAGTTTTCTGCATTTTTCAAAGGTCTTTTATTGATGATTTCATAGTTGGGTTTTCTTTTCAGAAAAAGACAGTAATAGACCTTTGAAAAATGCAGAAAACTACAGAAAATGCTTAAGAACATCTATTAAGCATGTTTATATTATTGTTCAATCTATATAAGACGTATTATTGTTCAATCTATATAAGATTTAGATTGAATCTAAATCGGATGTCCGATATAGACTGTAATCTAAATCGGACGTCCGCGATAAGTTCAATCTAAATCGGACACAACATATATAAAAATTATTTTTATATGTTAAAACAACTCAAAATCTGGTATCAGTGAAGACAAAGACTCTTCAAAAATCCGCTTTTTTTTTTTAAGGAAGAGACAGAAAGCCTTAGAAGAGACAAAGTTGGAAAGTGAAATGAGAAATGGGGAAAGGAATGGAAAACAGCGCACATCAAGGTAAACATTGATGGAGAAGACACAAATCGGGACATAACAACAAGAAGAAAGAAGGAACCAATGCTTGCAAGAAGGGAAAGGAATTTGCGGGGTGCTGACCATGGTTGTTGACTGACATACAGATAGCATCCCTTAAGGGAAATCGGGAAGGGAAAGCACCACGCGTGCTTCCAATGCTCAATGTATCTTGTGCACCGAATTTTCTTTAGACTAAACATTATTAGACATTCTTGAAGCACAATGATAAATCCCAGCTAGACGATCAAAGATGGAATCAAAGCAAAACAAACATCTCTGCTATAATCTATAAAATCGATAAACAAACATCTCTGCTATAATATATAAAAAAGAATATCACCTAGAAAACAAAGCCGATTAGCCGATTTACTATTAGGTATAAGAATTTCTAACTAAAATTTTAAGAAAAAAAACCAAAAACAAGACGGGGACCGAACCCCGAACTCTTTCTACCGAGAGACTTTACCACTACCCACTAAGCCACCGGTATCGACACCGGCTTGATTGAAAAGCACCTTTTAAAGCTTATCTTCGAAGCTTTCAATTTAGCTTTCAATACAATTTTTACGTGTTTGCAAAGCTTATTTAGCAGATTTTGATTTCAGATTATGAATCTCCATACTCGATTTAGTAAGATGTGGAAACGAAATTCCCTGCCTTTCCCTAGTAATTCTGCGAATGTGGGGAATGCTAAATTCCCAGCTCACGGCAAGCTTCCTGCCTTTCCCTAGTAAGTCTAATAATAAACCCGTACACTGGTTTTTGCTATGCAAATTTCCAGAGAGCCGATTCATTGTAAGAAGCCCGAGCATAGCAAGCTACATAAAATAGCCTATTCTAGAATCTTTACCTGGATAAATTCCAAATAGATACAGGAAGGTAAATTGAAATCAAAAGGAAGCCAAGTCCCTTCAAGTCTCTTTTCTTTTCCAATATCTAAATCCCCTAGATCCCTTCTTGTCTCAGAGTGCATTAGCGTACAAACGGCATGTTGGCAAACAGATCAGATGTCTCTTTTTCTTTTCTTTCTTTTCTTTTTGATCTCTTCTCAAATCTTTCGATGAATGATCGATTTTAAAAAAAAACTTTGAAACAAGACAATCAGAATTCTCACGGAAACGGAAAAGCAATTTGAAATTCGAGTAGAAAAACATTGATCTGCAAATCTCGATAAATGATAGGAGCCGTTTTTAAAACCAAAATTGAGCACTATTCGACAAACGAAGAACCCTAGCTAACACAGATTTAAACAGTACTTAATGACGACTGTAGAAGTGTACAAGTCAAATTCAGATTTATCTACTCACTTCACTTGATGCTAAACCCATATCCTGAATAGTTCAATAACTCAAAAAAGTAGCACAACATGTATTATCCAGATCAGGGTTGTTACAAAGGTGTTTTTGGGTCAGGTCAAGCAAGGCTAGGGCCAAGCCAGGTATCTTTTGGGCTTAGAGAAGCCAGACCAGGGCCTGGCTTTGCTTGGCCTGGCTTTGCTTGGCCTGGCTTTGCTTGGCCTGGCTTCTGATTTGGCCTGGCTTTGCTTGGCCTTGGCCTGGCCCGGAAGATTTTATGGTATGCTCTTTTGAAACTTCAAGTAAAGGAGAACAAAATAAAGAAATGAATAAAGTTATGTAGATTTTCATTGAATAAAAAATGGTATCTAGGTTGTTTTGGGGATGACCTTGCCTGTGTCTGGAATGGAGAACCATGAAATGAAAAGGGAAAAAGAGGTGAGGATCGGAAGGATCGGGAATAATTGGCATCTCTTTCCTCCTCTCGATTCTCTCTTTCGCTCAATTCCTTCTCATTTCCACCCATTCACCTACACAAAAAAAAAGCTTCTAAAAGCTGGGAATGAGAGGAGAAATGGCAGGTGTCTTCTATGAATCTTTCCGCCTAATCACAAGGTAATTACTCTTTTTTGTAATACTTGAAATGCATAAAATGCTTTTCAAAATCTAATTTCAAAGCTTTTTCTTCAAGATTACAGCTTCAAGCTTCAAGATTACAGCTTCAAGCTTCAAGATTACAGCTTCAAGCTTCAAGATTACAAGACAAGCTTGGCTAGAGCTCTAGCCAAGCTTAGAGTATCATTTGTTTTCTTCTGTCTGCTTTGAAGACCAAAACTGAAAACTTTCATTTGATTACAGTACTAGTGAAGTTGCTTAACAAGCCTCATGATATCTAATAGTAAAAAGAAATAAAAGCTCGATTTTGGGCTCGTCACTATGCTCAAATCATTGGGATAAATTTTTCTCCCAAACTTGGCTGTGTCTTCCAGCCATTCCTAGCAGGGCGCGGTCAAGAATTTCTCTTTGAGTCGTTCGAATTTATTAAGTCATCTTGTAATTGAACAAGTCATCTTGTAGTTGAACCAGTCATCTTGTAACTGAACAAGTCATCTTGTAGTTGAACAAGTCAACTTGTAACTGAACAAGTCATCTTGTAGTTGAACCAGTCATCTTGTAACTGAACAAGTCATCTTGTAGTTGAACAAGTCACTGTAACTGAACAGTCTCTTGTAGTTGACCAGCTCTTGTAACTGAACAAGTCATCTTGTAGTTGAACAAGTCAACTTGTAACTGAACAAGTCATCTTGTAATTGAACAAGTCATCTTGTAACTGAACAAGTCATCTTGTAGTTGAACCAGTCATCTTGTAATTGCTTTGAAAACCGAAACTAATCTCTCTGCATAAAGAACATCCTGAAATTTGCGCATCCTGAAAATGTGAAAAAATGAAGTATTGTTTTCGGCAAACGCTACTTATTTTCAAAAATCATTAAGTCAAACGGTTAATATTTAAGAATCTAATATGCATTTCACGATTTTAAAGCATGTAAATAAACTTCTGACTGCTTTTCAAAGTGTTCTTTCAAACACTACTCCCTTGCATATTTAGAAATTACTCGTGCACATTTAGAAATTACTCGTAAAATCTAATAACAAAGCACAAAAAGCGAATCAAGAATGTGATAAAGAGAATCTAAAGCGTTATCACATTGATATTAAACATTTTAACAGTTTAGATAAGTAACCGTTATAGAGAAGAAGTAAGTAAAATTATTCGTAAATTCGTAAATTCGTTAAATTTCTCAAATATTCACGAGTAATTGAATACTGAAAAAAGCTCCTTTATAGTTCCCTTATAGTTCCCTTATAGTTCCTTTAAAGTCCCTTTAAAGTTCTATTATAGCTCCTTTATCGCTGGTTGAGAAGGGAAATGTTTATAAGGAATATGAACACAAAAATCTAATAAAAAACCAGAAAAAGTGAATCAAGAATGTGATAAAGAGAATCTAAAGCGTTATCTGGAGAGAGCCAAACAAAAACATTTGTGTACTTGCAGGCTTGGCAAAATGCAGAGCTTAAACAGTGGATGGGTCTTGTGGGGAATGCCCGGTTACGGTAGTCGATCCACCCCGATCTGGGCAACCAGCCGACTGGCCCAGAACTGGGGAAAAGATTGGGAAAATGGAGAAGTGGGGAGAAATGAAAGGATTCCTACACAGCGACTATATAGAAGGGAAGGGAAAGGGGAAAAGGGGTGAGGTCCTTCAGGAGAGCTGGAGAGAGCCTAAAGCCCAAAAAAGTACCTAAACCTCATCTCCATTTTCGACTTTTCCCTTTTATTTTAACTCCAACGAATGGATTTCAACTGTTTCCGCAAAGTTTTTCTTGTCTCATTTCTATCCTTAAATTATCTAGACTCTATTTCTATAAAGTTTTTGTATCATCAAGAATTCAATAATATTAGAATATCTTTTTAAACTTATCCAGGCTTAATTTGCATAATGTTTTGAGTCATTAAGAACAAAATGCTCTTAGGAAAGGCTTTGCTTTGATGGCTTTGCTTTGATGGCTTTGCTTTGATAGCTTTGATTTGATGGCTTTGCTTTGATAGCTTTGCTTTGATAGCTTTGCTTTGATAGCTTTGCTTTGATAACTTTGCTTTGATGGCTTTGCTTTGCTTTGACAGGGAACCAAATTTAAAGAGATAGGGAACCAAATTTAAAGAGATGGGACCAAACTTGTTGAGATAAGGAACCAAATTTAAGGAAATAGGGAATAGCTTTGCTTTGCTGATAGCTTTGATTTGATAGCTTTGCTTTGATGGCTTTGCTTTGATAACTTTGCTTTGATAGCTTTGCTTTGATGGCTTTGCTTTGATAGCTTTGATTTGATGGCTTTGCTTTGACAAAATTTGTCTGCAAATTGTTCATTACTGAATTGTGCAAGCGAAAATTGTTATAACGTGCATTATTTTTATATTTTCTATTCTCTTGTTCAATCTCCAGACTCACTTTGATTTCTTGCATCAAATTTCAGCTCAAGATGGAAAGCAAGTAAATATACGATGAATCAACCCCAGCTGCACAGTGTAAGCATCCAACAGATCGATCGTTTCCCGGTGATTCAAACAAAATGGAACAGCAATCAGGTAAACATTTAACAATTCAAGTATCAAATTCTAAGGGAAAAAAAAGAGGTGAGGATCGGGAGGATCGGGAATAATTGGCATCTCTTTCCTCCTTTTGATTCTCTCTTTCACTCAATTCGATCGAAAATCAGATAAAATTTGCATATTTGTCCAACGAAAATATCTTTTCCCCAAACAAAAGATAAATTCTAATTTCCATAGAAATCATTCATGGGACTATATCAAATGAGCACCGCTTAAAAGAGCGCCTTAATCAAAAGGGCGCCGCTCAAAAGGGCGCCGCTTAAAAGAGCTCGACTAGATTTTTGCGCCCATTTTTTTCGTTTTTCTTGATGTTTTTGCTGGTTTTTTTTGTTTATTCACATTTTTTATTTGTTTTTAGGTAAAAGAACGACCGATAAATTCGAATTCGCCGTTGTTGGCAGAAAACGACCGGCAAGTCAATGTAAGGCGCAATTTATCAAAAGAAATATTTTTTGCTGTTTGTTTTCATTTATTGTCTAAGTTGTCTAAATCTAAGTCTATTTTAGGTAAAAGAAACTAATCAACAATTGCCTCACGTTTGCTCTTCTCATCGGACAAAGAAGTTGGCTATCAGAAATGGCACCTTAGGAAGATCGCATATTGAACATCTTAAATCTCTGTCATTTTAAATCGATTTAAATCGGCGCTCTTTTGAATGGGGCTCTTTTGAATGGCGCTCTTTTGAATGGCGCTCTTTTGAACGGCGCTCTTTTGAATGGCGCTCTTTTGAATGGCGCTCTTTTGAACGGCGCTCTTTTGAACGGCGCTCTTTTGAACGGCGCTCTTTTGAACGGCACTCCCGAACAGCGCTATAGTCCCCCAAAATCAAATCAAATTAAATTCTCTTTTTAGGAAGTTGCTCAAATCTTATGCTCAGTGGGTTCCCATCCGGAATGGATAAGTCAACAAGTGAGAGAAAGACCACAATCCGGGACTCAAATGCTCTTCAAACGATTTAATGATAACTATTTTAAGGTAATAATAAGCAATAAGAATCGTAAAATAATAATTATAATAAAATAAAGCGAACTTTTGAATGAAATTTGCTTGCAGGCGGATGGGTATATTTGGAAACGACGTCGCGAGGGGAAAGTGATTCGGGAGGATCATATGAAGTTAAAAGTTTGTATTTGAATCTATTTCTTATATCTTATTCAAATATAGTTTACAAATTATATAATTTTATATGTTTTTTTTTGTGAATGAAAATATAGTGAATGAAAATTCAGGTTCAAAAGCAGGAGATCATCTCGGCAAACTATGCCCATTCGGCGATCGTCCCGAGTTTCCATCGACGCGTTTATTGGCTAACGACCGTACGTTTACTGTTTACAACTTACAGTATACCGTAAATACTGTAATAGTACCCCCCCCCCAATGACGGTGCGGAGTGTTGCGTAGTCTAGCTTTGAACGAGTTTTTCTCGACACTGGTTTATGCTACAATGCGCGCTTAGCTATCAAAAAATAGCCCTGAAATTTAGGGCTATTTTTTGATACCAAAGACGCATTTTTTGAAAGTACGGGCGCTTTAAAAAAAATGAAATACTAAGAAACTTTTGCGACTACGCGACTGTACGAGGGGGGTGGGGTGCTATTACAGTATTTACGGTACCCTAATTATTGTAAGTCTATCCTTACAGTTGGATGTAGATTTAAACAATTAAAACAAATAAACAAAGCAATCAAAAGCTTCAGAACCCCGACGTCGTCTTGGTGCACTATTTGAACAGCGGTGATGATGAGCGAGCTGGTGAGGCTTTTAAAATTATGAAAATCAACTTGAATATTATAATATTAAATATTATCTTTCTGGATAAGCATTTCTGCTGTCTAGATCCGGAAATAAAAGATTTGAGACTCGGGAAATTGAGTTCGGGATTCGATTGAGTGAAAAAAGCGAAAAAAAACGCTTTTTCCTGATTTTCTTAGGATTTTCTGATTCAATTAAAAGTCTATTTTATTATTTGAAAGCCTGAAATCTTTTCTTTAGGATTATAGGAAAAGTTAACAATAATATTATCTCAAAATTATGAATCTCCAAAAGGAGAAGAGCCCATTTATCCAATGACGTCCAATTAATCCAATCCAATCCAATCCATTTATCCATTTATCCATTTATCCAATCCAATCACTTCTAGATGGACGTCCCCTATCAGAAAGAATCACCGCCACAATAAAAGCCTCTTCACTCACTCTTTCACATCAAGATCTTCACACGCAAATCTCACCAATATGTAAGATAAAGCTTTGCTATATAAAAAGCAAAATTTCTAAATAATCCTTACAGTATCCCCAACAACATCATCACAAGAAGTAACGGCGTTGTGCAACGCCATTTGGCAACTGCTCAACGATCCGCACTCAGTCAGTTTTCATTTTACAGTTTTCATTCTCATTTTTTTTCTTCTAAATTACTACTTGTCTATTTATCATTTATTATTATAAATTATTCAAAAATAATCAAACAAAATCCATTTTTTTTTTCAGCACAATGGCGGAGCTCACTTAGAGCGAAGAAATAGCTGCTCGTCGGCTTTTCGAAAAGGTACAAGAAATTGATTGAGAAATTGATTGAGAAATTGATTTATCTTGAATTAAGCTTACTTTAGATTAAAATAGATGCAGCTTATTGTAGATTGAAAGATATAAGTTATGCTATATAAGTTAATCAAACTATTATGCTCATTTTCAGGCCTTTCTTCGGTTGCCCTTCGCCGTCAACCGTCCACTTTCAGCGACTCGATCGATCCGCATTTTATTGGTAAACAAAAAAAAAAAGAGTTTTAGATAGAAATCTCAAAATTTTTATAGGAGACATTGTGAGGAATTGCGGGAAAGTTGATGGAGGGAATTTGGGAGGAGGACACCAGCAAAATCATCATTTACATTTGGAGGACAGCAACGGGTCAGCGCAAATCAATTATTATTTATTTTTATGAATATCTAATTCATAAAAACGATTTTTTATCATATCGTTTTTTCAGATATGCTCGAGATGAATCTCATCACTCACATTCTGGTGACACCCATCATGAAAGTATTGACGATAATGAAACGGTAAGTTAATGAAATACAGTAAAGAACACTAGGCAGCAATTCTTAAAAAAGAAAAACCCAAAGTCGGGATTGAACTTGTGAGGTCTCGCTCTGAAAACGAGCGCTCTGAACGCGCTCTGAACGAGCACTGAAAACGAGCGCTCTACCACTCAGCCAAGACTGCTCCGAATCGGATCTGCAAGGAGGCTGCTAAGATCCAGTTCTAACAAAACTTTAGACGCTTATAACTCCTGGCAGATTGTCATTTAGCAAAAACGGAATACAGATTCGGAATCAGAATAAAATTCTGCGTTGGATGGTATAGATCGCATAGCATTTGGCCTTGTCAATCAACAACTATTCAGTCTTTCTACCTCAGTCCTTGTCAATCAACAACTATTCAGTCTTTCTACCGTAGTCGAGTCGGTGCTTCATCAATGTCCCGATCAAATGGCCCTTCTTCGAGTGGTGAGGGATGGTTGACACCAATCAGTGACATAACACCAAATAAAGGATCCATTAAGGTAAAAAGGATGCATTAAGGTTAAAGAATTTCAAATTCAATTCAAATTAGGGTGACGTAAAAGTGTTGATCATTGGTGGATGGTATTTGAAAGGACACGAGTATATGGTTCAATTTGGAGAGCGGCGAGTGCCCGCTCAACTTCTCCAAGTCGGCGTCTTGATGGTGAGAGCGCCAGCGGGTTCGTTTCAAGAATTTCATTGAATTGATTGATTCAATTGATTCAATTGAAGAATTCAATCAGGATATGAATATTATTTAATTCTAATTCTAATTCTAACTCTTTTTGAAAAGCTTACAAAATGCAATCACAGCAATAGAGAAATGAGAAGAAATTTGGTTTTACTCTGTGCTCTGTTTTGTTTTGTTTTGTTTTCAAACTCTTTGCTCACTCTTAGCTTTCCTGATCTTTTTCTTGTTTAAAAAAAGTATACAAACACCGGATTTTCTCTCAAATCAATAAGAAAAGGGGATTCAGTGGAACCAGAAAGGATGAGTTTAGAATTTTGAGCTCAAAGTGCATTACAAAAGAATTCTAATTCTAGATCTTTTTAATGTTTATTATAGTTCTATAGCTAATTCTGCAGCTAATTCTGTAGCTAAGTCTATAGTTAATTCTGTAGCTAAGTCTGTAGCTAAGTCTGTAACTAATTCCATAGCTAATTCTATATCTAATTCTATATTTAATTCTATAGCTAATTCTGTAGCTAATTCTATATCTAATTCTTTCTTTAGCTAGTTCTATAGCTAATTCTATAGCTAATTCTATAGCTAATTCCCTATCTAATTCCCTATCTAATTCCCTATCTAATCCTCTATCTAATTCCCTATCTAAAGCTTTCCAGTCCGTGAACCATCTACAGTCAGCGTTCGAGTACTCTGCGATGGATCGATGGTGTCCTCGACCGGGTGTGAATTCACATACATCGATGAAAATACAGATAATAGGTTAGCTCAAAGCTATTTCTAGAATTAGATCTAAAAACTCTAGATATAATCTTGGAATTGCTTTAGATATAAATTGAAATCTTTCAGCACTCACCTCAACATTCAATCGCTCGTCGACAGAATGCAACTCTTTGTAGCAGCCTTCAATGTGCCTCAATTCTTGAATGATTCGGTAATGATTGAAAGGATTTGCTAGTTAGATAATCTAGAAATCGATATAATATCGATTATATATTCAAATCCGACTTTCAGCCTTTAACGACCTCAACACTAAACGAGGAGACTTTTCTTTCGATCGTTCGCTCTCTCCTTCAACATCAACTGGTTTGTCATTGTTAAATAAACTTTAAATGAACTTTAGATGAACTTTAAACCCTATTAGTTAAAGAATTCGACTTTTAAAGAAACTTGTTTACAGAAAAATCCTCACCTCTTGCAACCTCATCGAAATCTCCCCTCGCGAACGCTTCTCCACTTAGCCGCCGCTCTCGACTATCACCGTTTTACTGAATATCTTTTATGGTGGAGGTAAAACCCTTCAGTCCATGCATATTATCACTCTTATCGCTTTTTCCAGACGTTCTCTACCGTACACCCGTGAACTCGATCCATTGAGTCGCGACTCTGAAGGGTCGACTCCGCTTCATTTAGCCGTAAAGGCAAGGAATTTCGGCACCGTCAAAGTTCTTGTGAAAGCTTGTCGAGCCACAGTGGATGTACTCGATGATCGGTGAGAGTTAAGTTGAGAAAATTATCAATGAACTTTAGTGGAAGAACTCCATCAGATCTCACCTCGGATCCTGGGCTTTCAAAGCTGACCGCTCGCTTTGAGGAGGTCGGAAAAGACGAGTGGAATCCCGACAAGTCAGTGAAATGGGGGAAAAAATATTACTTTTGTGATAATATAAGTCTTTATATAATCGAATTTGTGTTAAAGCTAGCATAAGCCAATTAAATTAATTGAATTATTATAACAAAAACGAGTTGATCTTTCAGGTATGGAAGACGCTGAGCACATGGCTGCAACGGCTCTTTGGGTCTTCACAAATGGGGAAACGGTTACAGATGAAAGGAGACAAGATACACAAATGAATCGAATGGTTTGTTCTATTGGGTTGGGGAGAATGAGTCGGCGCCGAACTTTAAAGGCACTTTTTGCACACATAAAGCCTTCTTTAAACATACGTTTGGTTTTATCAAAAGGATCCACTATTTCTCTACAAAATGACTTTTGAGAGATTCCACAAAGCTTTTCTTTCGTGGAGTTTATGAACTTCCAAACGCAGCTGGTTAAAATGGCAAAGAGTCCGACTCATCATTTGAACAGTTTCTTTCACATAAACCTTCTTTGGTGTTTATATAAAAAAGATAGAGCACATTCAATTACTTAAGTTGCCAAATTTGCAGGAAGATCCCACCAATGGTTTTTTCTAAGATGACAGTTTGTAGTTTTTGTGAAAAAATGGCTTTTTCTTGAGCGGAGGCGCTGTTTGAATTTTCTTTTAAATGTCATTTTGTAGAGAATTAGTTAACCATTCTACTGATATCAAACGCATATTATTTGACGAAGTCGAATAGAAGTTTTAGACATTTTTTTGATTTTCGGCGCCGACTCATTCTCCCCAACCCAATAGATAGAAATATTGGGTTCTTCGGATATAAACAAGTGCTGTAAACAACAAACAAGCAAGTTGCTAAACTTCTAGATAGAAATATTAGGTTCTTCAAGTGCTGTAAACAACAACAAACAAGTTGCTAAACTTATTGTTGTGAGAGAAGCTTTTAAAAAATGTCTTTCTTTATTTAAAAGTCCGTTATCTTGTGGATATTTGGAATCTTTTTAAACAGATAATTTCTTATTTTTAAGATCTTTGATCTCTTTCTTGATCTTTGACCGATATATTAAGTTGTTGATACATCGTCTGCCGATCGTCGTCTACCGATATATCGTCTGCCTACTTTACGACTTCAAACTGGGCCAAACAGTCGCGGAATCCTATCGAGATTTGGTCAAAGCATTTGGGAATAATGTATTGTCCGAAAGCCGATGCCGAGCCTGATTCCAACGCTTTCGGAATGGTGATGAATGAAAGTGATGAAAGTCTCGAGGATAATGAACACTCTCGTCGACCTCAAGTGGTAGACAACGATATTTTGAGGGCTGCAATCGAACCGGATCCATGTCAAACGACGTGTCAAACTTGCTCAACAGTTTCTATGTTCAAATTCTAATATTGATCTCCACGCCATTGGAAAAACGATCAGATACGGGAAATGGCTTCCTCACGAGTTAAGCAGTGCAAACAAGGCTTCACGAGTCGCTATTGCCGGAATTCTCATCCACCACGCTAAAGATCATGGCTTTTTTGATTCTCTCGTTACTGGAGATGAGAAGTGAATCCATTTTGATAATACTATTCGAAAATGGAAATGGAAACGAGATCAGGAGAACGGCCAAATCCGACCGTGAAACCGGACATTCATGGGAAAAAGGTGCAAACGCAGTCCTCACGAGTTAAGCAGTGCAAACGCTCGTTTATATCCGAACAACCTAATAGCTTTAAATATAAACTCTCGGTCAATTCGATTTGTAAACCTTTCAGAGTGTTCATTCATCAACTTCACCAGCAAGTCTGCGCGAAGAGAGAGAACGAGAGGCGAATCCGATGATGATTAAAGTAAGCAAAAAAAAAAGGTTTTAAGGATTATAAAATGTTTTAGATAATATTAAGTTAATGTATACGTCTTTAGAATTGTTTTCCAAACGTTTTTTTTAAAATAATGCCGCCACCAACAAGATTTCTATTTGAATTATTAAAAAGCTTGATTGTTTTGTTGAAAGATTGTTTCTGAAAGATCAGAAAGATTGTTTCTGTAGAATGGCTTTCAAGAAATTCTTGGAAGTAGTTGTTTTTGAAGATTTTTTGAAGATTTTGAAAGAAGAAAAGCTTTTGAAGAAAAGCGCAAATGCGAGCACTCAAAACTGCGCAAAACCAAAACGGCAAAGTCACAATTTGGACACTTTCTTCAATACAAACCAATTTTAGTGTCATAATAAAAAATTTCAAAAAAAAATTGAAAAAAAATTGCAGACTTATGCATGAACCTAATAGCTATAAGCTTAAAAATTTAATAAACTCGAAAAACGGAGGGCAAAAGCTTAGAAAAAGCATTTTTAAGCTATCAAAAGCTTTGGTGTACGGTGACTGGGATAGGAAAAAGGATTCTAGAGTTAAAGATTGAAAAAATAATTGTTTCTATGGTTATTCATTTAATATTCAGTTTAAATATACCGGATTCTCTCTAATAATAGTGCACCTCGGCGAGCCGAGTTGGTGACGATTTTACGGGTTTCCAAGCTTTTGCAGAAGCTCAACACTCAAATCCTCCACTTAGATCTCATCGTCAGCTACATTTTCCGACCCCCCATCAATAGGTTCTGATAAGCGGTTCTCGAGATATCGAGGAATTTAGGCGACGCTCAGGGTCACTACTATTAGAGAAAATACGGCAGCCGGTATTACGGTACTTGTCGTGGGATACCGTACTTGCGTCTAGACGTTGGGCACTGTACGTAAAGCTTTCTTTAGTTTTGTACTGAGTCTTGTAGCATACCGGGTTCTCTCTAATAGTAGTGCACCCAGGCGAGCCGAGTTGGTGACTATTTTACGGTTTCCAAAGTTTTCCCAGAAACTCAACACTCTAATCCCCTATTAGATCTCATCGTCAGCTATATTTACCGGCCCCACATCAATAGGTTCTGATAAGCGGTTCTCGAGATATCGAGGAATTTAGGCGACGCTCAGGGTGCACTACTATTAGAGAAAATACGGTATTTGCTCAACTTTAGAGAAAAGCCGATTGGAAAGACTGTGAGCCGATTCATGTCGAGATCTCGATGGACACAGCCGACGTTCATGTGCCCGATTCGCCAAAAATGGCTGATCTCTTTGATGCGGTGACTAGGTAGAGAAAAGATCGACTTTTTTTGTTTAGATATCGATCTTTTAGCCCTGGCGTTTTCGTGAATGATTGCGTTCGCGAGAAAATGGCTCAACTCGCGCAGCATATCATTGACGCGTTGCCCGAAAGGATTAAAGCCGATCCACCGCAGAACAACGCGCAAATGCATTCCCTGGATGATCATCAAGTGAGAGAAAATCACTTTAATAGCAAGACTAGTGCATAACTGAACTCAAAAACTCTTCAATCTATCGATCAAGAAATTCCCCCAGGCTCATCACGGTTTCTCATTTGCCGGCGAATCGCCAATGTTCTCCTCGAATGGTTTTGTTGTACCTGAGCTTGATGATTATATGAATCTTCATTTTGGTCCATCCACATCACACCAAAATAGTTTCAGGTAAGAAAATCGTTGAAATATTTTGAAATCCCCAAAGTTTCAGCACAAAAACGATCCCCTCGGATGACGGGATGAGCATCAATCACTCTCCGACATTCAGGTATAAGCCTAAACTTTAAAATAAAAAGCAACAAAGTTGTATTCGTATATTAGTATTAGGAGTGCTTAATTTGCTCTCATCTTTTGATATCTTTTCTACTTTTTAGAAGATCGGTGTCTCATTTGTATCCATTCGGCGGACGGGAATCGTTTCCCTCATCTCGCGCGACCACTTTCGAATCCGGCAGCTTCGACCTTGATAAGTAGGGTTTTCTAAAAGCTTTATCAGTTACAGTATTACTGTATTATCAGCTACAGTATTAATTTATCAAATTTAGTTCCAAAGATTTGGGCGAATTCCTCAACAGCGAGGCGACAACTGAGATCGGCCCTTTACAGCAACAGCTGGGAGATCTGAAGTTATCGGGTTTGTTTTGAGAGTCAATCTGATAAAAAGTAGACGCCAATGTGCTATTCATATCAACCTAGAAAATTATAATTATGTAGAATCATTGCTTTTATCTGTTACTCTTCAGAGAGCGAGCAACGTGACGTGTACGAAGCGGCGAAAACCATTCAAAGGGCTTATCGGGAGTATCGGTGTGGATTTGTAATAATAAAAGTTACCAAGTACTTCACTTATAGCTCTTAAATATTATAAACTCATCAAAATCTTTATTAATCTTTATTAATTGACAAATTTCAGTGCTCGAACGAGTTCGGCTCCACATGCGGAAGCCGAGCGTAATGCGGCGATCACAATTCAGAGTTTCTATCGGCGATATAAAGCGGTCGGTTTAAAGCGAAGCTATTATTGAATTGAATGATATGTAATATATTATTATTTACCGTATTCTGGAGAACTTTTTATTAGAGCAAGAGCAAGAGCAGATCCACAAGATTAGGTAGCAAGGTTGGCTTTTAAAACTTGGCTTTGGATCTGCCAAGGTCGAACCAAAGCCAAGAGCAAGCATTGACTCAGCTTTGGTCTGGCTTATAGTTAGCCTGGAAAGCGGAATCACCAGAATCACCATAATGTATCGGTTCCCTCAATTCCACTTATCGAACTCTTTTTATTTACCGTATTCTGGAGAACTTTTTATTAGATTTTGATTAAGTATAAGTAAATATTTACTATAAGCTAACTATAAGCCAGATCAAAGCTGAGTCAATGCTTGCTCTTGGCTTTGGTTCGACCTTGGCAGATCCCAAGTCAAGTTTTGAAAGCCAACCTTGCTACCTAATCTTGCGGATCTGCCCCGTTGTCAAATTTAAGCAATTCTAAAATCTAATCCACCAAAACACTTCCAAAAGGCTTTCCCAAACCATTGAACCAAAGAAAACTGTTCAATGACAGAGAGAGAGAGAGATTGACGTCAATTGGAGGTGAACTCGAAGGAGTTGAGAAGTGGGGAAAGATGAAATGAATGAAGAAAAAGAATGAGAAAAGAATGGGAAAAGAAATGGATGGGATGATCATTGGAGAGACGGTTTGGAGTCCATTCACACGTAAGAGCAGAAAAGAGAGCTTTTCACTGTTCATCCACTTGAGAGATTCACCGGAAAAGAATGGGAGGAAAGGGGGTAGGATTACTGCAAGAAAATTTACGCTTACTCTTTACTTGACCACAAATTACGTGTAGCGTTCGACTCAGGCAATGAATATGAAAAAGAAATAACCATGACTGAATATCTGTTCGTTTAAAGCATCTTGTTCGTTTCTGTTCGTTTAAAGCATCTTGTGAGCCAAATTCTAATCAAGATCAAGATTAGATTCAATCTAATCAAGACTGAAGGAGGTTTAAATTTTGTAAGCAAAAAAAGGTCGAGAAGTTTAGATTCAAAAAAACTTTAAAAGCCCTTTACTTTAAAGCCCCTTTTAACTTTAAATACTCTCAAAACGTGTCTAATTTTTGCGTTTTACGCCAGATGCTTTGTGAAAAAAAGAAAGAGTCAATTTCCACGTTTAACGAGAAGAAAAAAAAGGATTTTTTGAAAAAAGGGGAAAGCCGAGAAAAGCTAGTATTGCCGTGGTATTGCCGTTACACTTTTTGTGTCCAGGTGAAAAGGAAAATGCGAAGAATATGAAAGGGGAAATCGAAAGGAATTGAGTGTTTTTTTCTGGAGAATACTATTAGAGTGAAAGAAAACATACACAACTACAAAATATGCGAAGAGAGTGGATTGAATAATAGCTGAAAGACTAAAGAATCAAGTTGAAGGATCAATCTTGACTAGGAAACTGTTTTGAAGTGCATTAAAGACTCTAGTTAAAACTCGTGAGTACTAAAATCTGAATTCCGCCTTAAACAATTGTCTGATTTCAGTTCCAATACTTCAAACGTTTGTACAACGCGGCGATCCTCGTGCAGAAGCATTTCCGAATGAAGAAAAAGGATCAATCGGGAAGCAATGAGAGCTCGGATCCGAGTCATGATCGTTTACCCGATCATCCATCGGTGGATGGGAGAAGCATTCGGATACAGGTGGGGTTGATGGCTAGGAAAGTTTAGTTCTACTGCTGAGCTGTGGTATTGGGATCTGTTTAGCAAGCTCATTAACTTACTGATTGAAAAACGCTATTGTCTCATAAAAGTCACTCTGCGTAGCTGCCCAGCCAATGCAATCGTTGGCTGTTCAGGTTTCTGCGTAGCTGCCCAGCCAATGCAATCGTTGGCTGTTCAGGCTTCTGCGTAGCTGCCCAGCCAATGCAATCGTTGGCTGTTCAGGTTTCTGCGTAGCTGCCCAGCCAATGCAATCGTTGGCTGTTCAGAGCAACTACGCAAGAAATTTGGGGCAGAATCGTTAAATCGAAATTTTTGGTCCCTAGCAAATCGTTAAATCAAGAGTCGCCTGTATTAGGTTGAGGAAAAAATAATGCACGCTTTGAGTTTCGCATTGGGGAATTAAAATTGAATCCAACCCAACACTCGCGACTTGCGAGCTTGCAGAAATATTTGATGTTGATCAGAAAACAATCGACAACCATTTGACGCATGCTCGAGAAAAAGAATCCCCTATCGAAAATGGGTTCTGCATGAATTGACTCAAGACAACAAAACAACTCGTGTCAACGTCAGCTCTTTCTTTGCTCCATAAATTCAAGTGGTTTCTGGCATCGACTTTAACATCTGATGAAACTTGGATTAATTATGGCAAAAGAATGTCAACAGGAAGAGCCAATGGCTATCTACCAAACAAACCCCTCAAACCACTCCCAAATCTGATATTCATGGAAAGAAAATAATGCTCTGTTGCTGATGGAACTCAAAAGATTTGGTGCACTATGAGTTAGCTAATCCAGGAGAAAACATTGATGCTGACCTCTTCTCAAAACAACTGACTAAAGTTAACGATGCTTTAAAGAAATTGAGGCTCAATCCATTAAAGATTCGATTTATGTACGACAACACGAAACCCCACAAAGTCACTCGCAAAAAAATTGACGAGCTTGGGTAGAAGTTGCTTCTTCCTGCTCTTCCTCATGCTTTTCCTCATGCTTTTCCTCATGCTCTTCCTCATGCTCTTCCTCATGCTCTTCCTCATGCTCTTCCTCATGCTCTTCCTCATGCTCTTCCTCATGCTCTTCCTCATGCTCTTCCTCATGCTCTTCCTCATGCTCTTCCTCATGCTCTTCCTCATGCTCTTCCTCATGCGTCTTACTCTCCTTACTTAGCCCCGTCAAATTACTTTTTGTTTTGGTCCCTGAAACAGTTTCTTATTGGAAAAAAGTTCGATGATCATACACAAGTCAAAAAAAAAGCGGTCGAGAACTATTTTGGCTCAAAAAAATCCCCCAATTTTTCACAAATGGAATGAAGAAGTGAGGAGCATCGATAAAATGCTAAAATCGAGAATGTCTGACTGATCGATAGTTGCTATTTCTTGTAGAATGTAATAAGTTATTACACCCAAAAAACGCGCTTTATTTTCTCTCAATCATTTCATCAGTTATTAAGCTACCTCTGGATTATATTTCGAAACAGGATGTTGTCCTGAAAGTGAAATGGGGAACTGATAATTAGCATGTGCTTTGATAGAATGAAAAGACAGGTACGTCAACAATCGTTCTTTCCTGTACACAACCACAAATGGAGAGAAGAGGGAAGAGATAAGATAGGAGAGAGTTTTCTCGGTGTTTTCCCTTCTCGCTTTCATTTGGACTCTTTAGATTAAATATAATTGATGTTACCACTTTGATGTCTTTTTAATAATAAATACTTCTTGCTTTTCCAATAAAATATGCTTTTAGAAATTTGTAGCTCTTGTTTGAGACAAAGTTTGCTTGTTTTAAGACATCAATTATATTGCTGCAGCTCTTTTTCGCTTTGTTTCAGCTCTTTTTTTCAGTTTTCTAGCGTCTAATTTGATTAACTAGATATGTAAAGCTGTTATCGAATCATATTATACATATTAATCATATTATATATTATCATTTAACAAGCTTATATACCGTATTCTCTCTAATAGTAGTGCACCCTGAGCGTCACCTAAATTGCTCGAAATCTCGAGAGCCGCTTATCAGAACCTATCGATGTGCGGTCGGAAAATGTAGCTGACGATGAGATCTAGTGGAGGATTTGAGTGTTGAGCTTCTGCAAAAGCTTGGAAACCGTCAAATCGTCACCAACTCGGCTCGCCGGGGTGCACTACTATTAGAGAAAATACGGTAGTTCATCTTACTCTAATCAAAATATCCCCGCTTGCCCGTAAAAAATCTCAATCATTCTATTTGTCAAATAACTGAACTTTATCAATGTTAATCAAAAAGAAACTTTAGAATTAATTAATCTAAGAATTAATCTAAGAATTGTTATCCAATTGGTGGATAACAAGAATTGTTATCCCATAAAAGACCAAAAGCCATGGCTGATCAAGCCAAGACAAGGCAAAAATCAAAAAATTTGGTTTTGACATTGGGATTTCCAAATGGAAACTTTGAGATTATTTAAATTATTTAAATTTGGCTTTTATAGTCCGTTTGGTTGAGCTTGACCTGGGAATCGGCTCTCAATTCATCCATGGATTTTCTCTGACCTTTGAACCTACGCAAACATTTACTCTCGATGACTTGAGTGCAAAATGAAGATGCGATCTTCAGTTTGACGCAATCTTCAGTTTAACGCAATCCACCTTTCTTTATTGGATTAACTTTATCCTTTTCTCAGAAGCGTTTGTCATTTCTTTTTCTTCAACTTCATTCCAATTTCTGGAGCCGTCTTGTCTGCACCGATTTCAATTAGAAATTCTTATGCCATCGTAGGGATTTTCGGGCGCTTTCAATATCGAGAATATCCGAGTGAGCGGAGGGAAAAAAAAAGAATTGAATCACGCAAGAGAATATTATTTTGAGAACTTTTGCAAAAAAACTTTCAGAAGAGAATTTGAGAGTTAAGATTTAGTCTAGAGAATTTCTATCTGACATAAGAGGAGGCAATCATTTAGATTGCTGCCTTGCCTCCGTTTTCCCTCAAAAAGTATAGGCATTTCCATTTTTTTTTATCAAGCTCATCAAATCAACCTAATCCGTGGCAAACAACAACAATATAACTAGTTTTTGTTGTTTTACTGATAGTTTGTTTTATTACTAGACTAGTAGATGAAATTTTTAATCGACAGCTTGTTCTCTTGCTTGTTCTCTTGCTTGTTCTCTTGCTTGTTCTCTTGCTTGTTCTCTTGCTTGTTCTCTTGCTTGTTCTCTTGCTTGTTCTCTTGCTTGTTCTCTTGCTTGTTCTCTTGCTTGTTCTCTTGCTTGTTCTCTTGCTTGTTCTCTTGCTTGTTCTCTTGCTTGTTCTCTTGCTTGTTCTCTTGCTTGTTCTCTTGCTTGTTCTCTTGCTTGTTCTCTTGCTTGTTCTCTTGCTCAATTCGTTTTCTAAAAGGCACTTAGCCAATCAACACAAATCTAAACTAACAAATTTAACAATTTTAACAAATCAAACCGCCAGTTTTGGTTTTTTTCAAATCAAACCGCCAGTTTTCATCTGATCGGTCCAATTTTGTTCTCATTTGCTGAGCCTTGTGATTCCTCGTCGAATGATACCAAAATTGGGCTGTTTGGGTGTAAACTGACAGCTTGACTACAGTAGTTTGCTAAAATACCCTTTAGAAATGGGTTGCTCATTGAAATCTTAATCAATTCATTTTCTCGAAGTGAGGTGTTCCATTTTCAATTCTCGAATCCATCCATCGTCTAGTTTCAACTATTGAAAGAGCAGAAGGGGGCTGTCGGGGTACTCTATCACCATCCCTCTTCCCATAATATGACCACATTTGCCACCTTTCACTCTTCCCATACCTTTTTCATTCTTCCAGCTTTTTCTCTCAATCCTCTCAATCAGTCCTTTGATTTCCCCTCATTCAATTCCTTTCTTTCCTTTCCTTCCTTTCTTTCCTTTCCTTCCTTTCTTTCCTTTCCTTCCTTTCCTTTCTTTCCTTTCTTTCCTTCTTTCCTTCCTTTCTCCGCCTCTTTTCTCACCTCTACGAAATTCCCCAAATTCCTTTGATAAGCTTGCTAGTTTTTATCCACTTAGGATTTGTTTTATTTTATTTAGATATTGCTATTGATTTTTGGCTTCAATACTGAAAGCCAGACTTGCATATTAAGACATATAAAGGGCATGCTCAAATAAAGTAAAGTAAGGAATGGCAAAGAAAGATTCCCGGAGAGGGGATTGAACCCTCGACCTTTTTGCTTTTGCTCTAACCATTGATCTATTCGGTATCTCTTTGCCAGAGAAGAAAGAGGAAATACAGGAGGGAAGAGAAGGAAAAAATGTCATACAATGCTTTCTTGTAAATCCTTGCTGGGTTGTCCCAAAAGGCATTTCCCGGGTGAGACCAGGTTCTAGCTTTGCCTTGCAGACCCTAGATCTGCCAAATCTATTCTCGTTATCAATTCTTATTTATTCTTATTTTCTAACTAATTGTAAGTATCTGAATTTTGTTATTTTCCGAAGTTCAATCACGATCTGATGACGATTCTTTCAAAAAATCACGAGAAATTCAGATTCCCCTTTGCCTAAAATGGGCGTCACTTCCGGAGTATCCCCTTTTCCTCATTTTTTTCACTTTTTCTTTTCTCAAACAAAACTCTTGCTCCATCTAATGGGAAGATAAACTAAACATTGAGTCTCCAATGTCTCAAATGTCTCAAATTCATTTTGATTTTCTTTCAAAGACTCAGAAATTTTCAAAACCAATCACACTGTACACTTTTTAGCTAAAAATTCTAGCAATTACACGATTTTACCCTTTTTAAAATCTTCAATTATTTCCCAAAACTGCTCCCAAATTGATACATTGGGGAATTCCTTTTTTCGTTGATACATTGGGGAACTGTTCTCAAGGTTATAAATGTAGTGAATGAAGAATCAGATAGTTTTTTCATTTCTTTTACTTCAAAATTACTGTACGTTTATCTCTAACGATTCTATTTGAGGATAAAACGCGCTTGTTAGACTAGCGCTTGTTAGACTAGCGCTTGTTAGACTAGCGCTTGTGAGACTAGCGCTTGTTAGACTAGCGCTTGTTAGACTAGCGCTTGTTAGACTAGCGCTTGTGAGACTAGCGCTTGTTAGACTAGCGCTTGTTAGACTAGCGCTTGTTAGACTAGCGCTTGTTAGACTAGCGCTTGTGAGACTAGCGCTTGTTAGACTAGCGCTTGTTAGACTAGCGCTTGTTAGACTAGCGCTTGTTAGACTAGCGCTTTATCTAGCCATTCTACACTCTGTCAAAAAATTATAGACGCTGGTTAAAACACTCTCATGTGGTTAACAGCGCTGGTTAAAACACTCTCATTGAGTTTCATTATTCGTTTCACAACATCATTTATACTCAAAATGCAATCTCAATGTGTTCTTCTTTCTGCAATCAAGCAACTTTTTGTTTTTTTAACAATTCCAATTCTTTTCAAACAACTCACTCTTATTTTTCTTCAAAAAACTTTTGTTCGAGTGATGATTTGCCTTTGCCATTAATGCCATTAATGCCATTTGCCTTTTAAAGTCACTCTTCTATCGCGATAACGTGTAGAAAAGTCTTCTGAAATCGGATTCCATTTGATGATTGTTAAAAAAAGAAAAGAAAAGAAAAGAAAGGAGTTCAATGTCGAGAAATGGATGAAATCATCCCTTCAGTTCCTCCACTTTCCCCCACTTATCTATTCCAAAGTCCTTCAATGATCTCTTCCATTAAAACTATAGTCTTTATCTGAATATTACCGATTGTTTAGCTAAAAAGTTTATACCGGAATCTGCCCACAAAAAGCATACAAGTTTGGGCCTGCCTTCTTGGGCTCTAGCTTTGGCTTGCTTTACTTGACTTGCTTTGCAGACCCAACCAAGTCCAACCCTAACAGCGCTGGTTAAAACACTCTCATTGAGTTTCATTCAACTTTCAACTCAAGAATTATGCCAGCTGTTTACGACAATTTTCCCTTTGATAAGAATTTGAAATTCTCTATAATCTTTTCTTTTAAACCCTCAAGTCCAGAGTTTTAAAGAGAGTGAACAGTTCATGTAATTTCATACATTTGCTGAAATGACGTCATCACATATTCGGAGAAATCACCGGATAATGAGGGTCAAATGTTGTAAGAGACGTTCCCAACCAGTCACTCATCGACTTGGGTTGCAACTCTCTTTTCTCTTTTCTCTTTTCCTCTTGTCTTTCACAGTAATAATGAGATGAGTGAAGGGGGGATAAGCTGAGAAACAAACGGGTCACTTACTTCTTTTGACTCAACATTGCCTTGTTTCTCTTGCAATTGCACTGATCACAAATCAACAGCCCGTTCTTGATCTCTGATTGGTATATATGTTGTGTCCTATTTAGATTTCCGTCCGACTTAGATTGAACTTATCGCGGACGTCCGATTTAGATTACAGTCTATATCGGACGTCCGATTTAGATTGAATCTATATCGGACGGAAATCTAAATCGGACACAACATATAAACGTATGGTCAAGTACGATAAGGCTAGAACTGGAGAAACTAGGTGATCTTGTTAAGCTTGAACCAAAGAATCCATCATCATTGAAGTCATCATTGCAGTATCATTCAAGGTTCAAAAAGAACCCAAAGAACCCAAAGAAGTTAGTGCTTTGATCTAAGTAAAGCAAGTAAGACTTGTAGAATACTATCACCAACTCTCAAATAGGAAAAATGAAGTTCTGATGATGATGATGATAGAATGATGGCTGCAATGATGACTTCAATGATGATGGATCCTTTGGTTTAAGCTTAACAAGATCACCTAGTTCTCCAGTTCTAGGCTTACCATATTTAGATCAAAGAATAGAATAGACAAAGCACTTTTTTGTGGGCGATGGTTTGTCTGTCCCTCCTCTCGACCCGCAGTGACCCTTCAGACCCGAGCGATTTGCGTCATCGGTGTGTCGAGTCTCCCTCTCTGAGAGATCTCATCGCTTACCTATCCCCATCCCATCTCTCCTTTACCTGAAATCTTCTCATTTCTCGTCTCCGTTCTATTTTTCTCTTTTCAAAAGCCTCAAATTTCCAGGTAACTCCGCCCAATCCCTCTTTTCCCCTCTTACCCTTTTTTTGCCTCTGAAGCGTGTGAGATTTTGAGAACGGTCAAACGATTCTTCTGCAAACCTCCTCCCGAATTGCCAGCAATCTTTTTTAAAAGCGATTTGATATTTGAAAACGTTTACGAAACTTTCTGAATCTATTGCTTGCAGAAATTAAGCTTTCCAACTTAAGATATTCAACTTAAGCTTTCCAACTTAAGATATTCAACTTAAGATATTCAACTTAAGCTTTCCAACTTCAGCATTCCAACTTCAGCTTTCCAACTTCAGCATTCCAACTTAGCTTTCCAACTTCAGCATTCCAACTTAAGCTTCCAACTTGCACCAACCAGCTTTCCAACTTCAGCACTGCCACTTGCTTCCAACTTAGCCCAACTTCAGCATTCCAACTTAAGCTTTCCAACTTCAGCATTCCAACTTAAGCTTTCCAACTTCAGCATTCCAACTTAAGCTTTCCAACTTCAGCTTTCCAACTTAAGATATTCAGTCGACTGGTAAATGCAAAGAAAACGGAATATCTTGACTTGTCAGCCTTTTGTATAGATAAAGTAGTACTGTCACCCAAATCTAGTCTATCCATTCATTGAATCCAATTAAAGGCTTCAATTGGATGCAAGCAAGCTCTTTTAGCCCTTCGTATTCCCAAATCCTTGAGCTCTCAATCCTTGAACTCTTGAGCCATCGAAAACTCGATTGCTAAAAGATATTCCGGGAATTCCTTCCACATATTTCCCCTATCACTTCCCTTCTTATCACTGCCCTCCTCCTCTCCTCTTTCCCTTTTCCCCATTTACAGCCTCATTACAAGCACTTTTTCACGCGTTACCTTGTGTGAAAAAGTGGTGAACCCGTTGGCAATTTTGACAAAAAATTTTCGATTATTCTAACTACGTCAAACGTTTTCTTGTTGCTTTCGCATTGAACTCTTTGTTTTTATTTTCTATTTTCTGAATAACCCTTTTGATGGTTTAGTCAGACGTTGACCGATTGACTTGAATCATTCGATTTATGCAAATCACTCTGTGATACTGGGTGGGACTTGTTGATAGACTTTCAACAATAAACATTTCAACAACAAACACTCCTCCATCACCATTCCGCTGTCTATTTCTCATTCCTCGAATATTTTCAACGACAAAGACGCTCTTTCAACGATGTGCTTACCGAGGTTTTTGTATGATGAGGTAAATTTTGGACACCGCCTTTCTTCTCTAAATTCTAAAGAGGTTGTGACCTTAAATATTTTTGCGGTGTGCTGAACGTTTAAACGCACCCTTTCTAGCGCACCCAATCTCTCATTTTTTGGTTACAGAGCAAATTTGAGACTTGTTGTTCATTTTTTTGCTCATCTATGCTCTCAATCAATAGATCTAGCAATAACTCACGTGGTAACCAAACACCAAAACGTTTTTTCAATTTCACCAACTTCCGGCGGCTATTTCAAGCGTCAAGTGTGTGACCCGGTGGGGATAATTTAGAGAAGTTGAGCGTAGAAAGGGTCCATCACTTCGTGGAGGAGAAAGTGAGGGTGGCCAACTGTCGCGAGAGCTGACAATTCCACGTAGAGCCCATTCCTCCGTCATCGCTTGGAAAAGGCGAAAGAGAAACCCGTTTCAATGAACATTTTCGAACAAAAGAAAGCAATGAATCATAACTTGAAAAGACAAGGGAATTGGGGAAGGAGAATTCAATGGGAAAGCTTTTGTGGCAGTTAGTGAAAACCAGAAGATATACCAGCACCTTGAGTTGGCTGACGGTATCTTATGAGAGTTTTTAAAGCTTTCAAAATAAGCCTTTAGTTCGCTCACGGTAGCTACGAGAGTTACAAGAGCTTACGGTAGCTACGAAAGCTACAGTAAGGCCCGAATTGGGCTACGGTATCGAAAAGAGTTTTAAAGTAGATACAAATACTACCGTATCTACAAGGGTTTTTTTAAAATGAGGCTTGGATTGGCTTACGGCATCTTAATTGGTTCTTAGTTAGAGTTAAACCCAAAACTATGCTCTTAAATCTATTTGCAAAAGGAAAATTCCAGATCCCGCCAAATTCCTCAAATCTATGGCGCGAGAATCGAGCAGCAGTGACAATTCAACGATCATACCGAGATCATCGACACCGAAAACGACAAGCAGCCGCTAGGAAAATCCAGAATTTCATGCGACAAAGCCGCATCAAGTAAGTCTTTTATCAGGCTTTATTCTTGAGAAAGCTTTCTCGCTTTCTTACCAGAATTCACTCCAGTTATCACCACTGTAGCCAAAATAACGATGAAAACGATGGGATGGTAAAGAATATTGTTGTAGTCGTGAAAATAGTAAAGAATCTGTTGTACTGTGAGCATTTGTAGTGACAAAGGATTTACATATCTAAAAATGAGTTTCAGGTTGCGCAAAATGCACGAGCAAAGCGCCGCCGGGTGTACGATGGAACAGGGAGTGGAAACGGAGGGTGAGTACAATGGTTGATTGAATGGATGAATGAATTAATGGATAACGATACCAAGCCTAGAATATAGCACTTTACAGTACTTATACTTGCAGGGATGTTCACTGGATTCTAGAGTCTATAAGCCAAGTTAGCCAAAGCAAGGCAAGGCCAAACTCCGGCTTCTGGCGGTCATAAGAGCTTTTTTGGGCCAGCAAAATCAGAATCAGACTTCTGCTCTTGCCTTGCATGGACTTGCTCGGAGAAATTACTTTTCAAACAACTCTGCTTGTAATTGTAAACATGAGCACTACAATATGCATCAAAAAATCAAAAATTTCCAGTTGGAGTGTTGTGTCTGCCGGTCAGCCAAGCAACAACAACAGCGCACAACCCGGTCGTTCCCCATGTGCCCCGTTCCATCTCTCAACAAACCCACCAGCCCATCCACCACCAAATCTCGTCGTCCCACCACCACCCCCAGCCACATTTGCCGATTACTATCGATCATCCAATGGGTAAACGAAAAATGTATAGCTTTTGACCATAGATTCAGCGAGCTTCTCCAATACGACGAGTGTCTGTCCTCCACCGGTGGCATCCCTCCATCAGCCCCTCTATCATCAGTCCATTATGGGAATTGTCAATCTGACGGGTATGGACAACAAGCACCCACAATCACAGCGGATGGCTCAGCAACAGCTCGGAGCCAATGTCATCTCGCTCCAGGGGTGAGTGTAGAAGAGAAAGTGTTGTAGCGGGTCCCGGCCTGGCTGCAGGACTAGCTTTGATAGTACAAAACTATAGTAACAGTTTACAATGGATTTCAGGGATCCTCTGCCTACATCCAACAACATAAACCATCCGTCTACCCACCACCAACAAACGGTTCCCTTGCCACCGATCCACACTATCCAACCGAGCAACAACAACATGCTCAATGGGTAAAATGACATTTAAAAAAAGGAAAAAACCAAACAATTTCAGTAAATAATTCGGTGATGGGATACCTTTCTTGGTGGAAACGTTTCAATGAGCTCTCCCCTACCCAATATCTTTCCTCTTCTCATTCTATTCGCAATGCATTTGTTTGGCATGATTATATTCTTTTTTCCATAGCTTTTTCTCCTTGTACATTCGCAAATCTCATAGCTCTCCTAAGTCATACCCCAAAATACGAGTCAACAGATGTGTTCGTTTCACGATAAATTTATTTTTGTCACATTTTTATTAATGTTCGCTCGAAGAAATGAAACAAACTCAAAAGTCGCATTTTAAATCACAGTTCTAGTAACGCATAAAGAGCAAACGGGAATTCTGTACAAGAACAACGCTTAAAAAATCAGAAATTTCTTGCTATAAAATGAAGAGCGGTCTTATACACGTAAAAGGAAAAAGAAAAGTTTAATGATGACAATAATGACAATATAAAATTAATGATTAAATACAATGACATAGTTGAAGGCAATATAAAAAAAAGGTGGGGTAATGAACTTGCCAGAAGTATTATTCCCTTCTCAATTGATCCAATCGAGCTTGAAGATCATCGTCGATATCATGTCCACCACCACTTCCACCAGCAGCCACCGGTTGACGAGACGCACCAGCACCTTCGTTAACGCCGATCTAAAACAAGATAAATAAATTTATTGCAACAAAAGGTTTAATCATCATTTAGCTATTACTTTAATAGTATTTTCTAAAAACAAATAGCTAGTTTATCAAAGTGCTTTCATTGTGCTTTAAAAACATCAAAACACTTACTCGGCCAGAAGGAGCCGCCAAACCGCCAAGTTCTTCTCCCATTTGAATTCCGAGTTCGTCAAGGACCTACAATAAATATTTTGTAAAATATCAATAACCATTAGGTAACGCTAAAACAATTTTGATAAAACTGATAAACACTAATCTGATAGAATTTTTAAATTAAAATCAAACCTGATTCACAATTTGATCACTTTCCTCATCATCCTCTGCATCACCGAGGGCGTCATCGATCGCATCTCCCATGATTTCTTCCTAAAACTCGGAAATCATAAAAATGCTTCAATAAAATACCTTCATATCCATAATTTCGCTTTGTTTCTCGAATTCCATCATGATTTGTTGAATTTGAGGGAGATTCATCTAAATCAAAATAATAAAATGTTGACTTTAACAATCTCTACCTGCTTGTTCATGCTGCGCATTGCCTTGGTGACACCTTTCATCGCTTGGGCCATCGCATCTTGACTTTTCAATGTCTGCACTTTTAGAGATACTGCCTAAAGCATTTTAATTGTTAGAGGGCAAGAAAAACTCTTTACTTGAATATTCGCCTTCATCACGATGAACTTTTTGATGTATCGTCGCGTTCTCACAAGATCCTTGGCCATCACCTTCACGGAGTCCTAAAAAATGGTGCTTGGTGTTTAAAACTATCAAATTACCATTTGATTCATCTTCGCCATTTTCTTGATTTCAGCAATCACTTTCTTTTCTTGCATCTCCATTCGACTCTTTTCCCGATCCAATTCGCGGATTGCCTAAAGAGAGAATTTAATTGCAATCAAGTGGACAAAAAGTTACCTTATTGAGTGCCCGTTGATTTTGCCTCAAAAGCTCGGCCGGTGTTTTTCGTCGCCCAAATAGAAAGTCCATTATCTGAAAATAAACACTCTTATTTATCAGAGACATGAAAAAATTTGCAGCATAAAATATTTGAAAAGATTAGGCATAGGAGGAAAAAGAGGTAAACTCGAAAAAGATCATACCTAATTAACTAAATATCACATTGTTCTTGGATCAACCTTTAAAATATCAATAACCGTTTCGTGACATGGACGTAAATTTTGGTCGAAAGAGCCGAGCGCAAATTTGTCTACCCGTCGAAAATAATCCAAACCGCGTCCAATCTTGACGATCCAACCATTGTTGAACTTGATTTCTCGATCGTGAATCGTTTGACTGAATTCGAGACTCAACTGCACGTTTTTCTCTTTGAGACTTGCCGCGATTTCCATTAGTGAGGCGTTCGCTTGGTTTTTAGCGTCAACACCTGTCGTCAACTTAATGACTTTTACATTTGGAGCTCGGCTGACAACTAACTCGCAAAAACGCAAGAAATTGATCACTTGATGATGAGCCGAAACATAAGCATCGAAGATCTCGATTTTCGTCAACTTATCATCTAGACAGTTTCCAAATACCCGATCATATCCATGTCCAACACTTCCAGCGGTGATTCGTCTCTGCTTTGCTTCGATCACCTTCAGCGTTCTTCTTGGAAATATCGTCTCCGCTCGACTCATATACTCGGCCGTGGTTTTACGTAGTTGCTCCTTCCTCTTATCCGTATCGTCCATCAATTTCAGAGCCGAAAGTAGAACGTCGACAGATTCCATATAAGCGTTTGCAGCATCTTCATGGTGTTGTGCTCGATCGAGTTGAACGGCTCGTTGAATAATCGGTCGGGCATCGTCAATCAACTTGTCGACGCTCATCTCACCATGATCATGAAATCGAAAAGGAAAAGGATAAAGACACTCTTGAAATGAATCACCGAGCGAACTTGAAAGCAAGGGAAATCACTCGCTTTCTCTTTACTTTTAGCTCAAAACAGAGAAAGGGTACGGTAGAAGGGCACGCTTTAGTTTTCACCTTGTTCCTAAGAAGTTGTTCCCGTTTGTCAACGTCAAATTATCCATTGAAAGAAATATATATGTAGGTTTGATAATGTTTAAATGAAATAAAAATAATACCTTTAAAATATATCTACGTGACAGAAAAAATAAATCTAACAAATCTTAGACTGGACCTAAAGTGTTAGACCTTTATTGACCTTTTTTGACCTTTTTGACCTTTTTGGACCTTTTTGTCGCATAAAAAGAATTTCTTCGCAAATTCTAGCAAATTTTTGTACTTTTTTGAAAATAAACTTGTATAAGATTGATACAGTGATAACTTTAAGCAATTCCAACAACTCCAACTCCAAGATAATCACAAAAAAACCCTAGATAGCAGATCAATTTCTGAGTCACCTCGATTTCTCAATCAACACCCAAAGCAGGAAGCACCGCTACTCCGCAAATCATTGGGACTCGTTTGACTCGACCCCGATTTTTGGGTTTTATTTTCTCTCCTTTGGAATAGAGGAGCAGAACTCGAAAGACTGAGAGTAAACACGATTGAGGGACAAAATCTGAGGACAGGGGACAGGCCTAAGGGGAGGTGAAAAAAAAGAAAGAGTGACTCGATTCATTCCCCATCTTTTGATGGAGAACTTTCACGTTGTAGACGCCTAGTTTTTTTTTCTTCAGCTTCTTCAATTCCAAAATCATTTTTTTTCGGACTCTGATGTTGCTTTAGTGAAGTCTTTTACACTTTTTTGTTGCCATAGATGAGTCGGTTCAGTCGGCTAAATGCTTTTTTTGTTATACTATAGTGAGACAGGACTTTACAGTATCCTTAACAATAAGTAATCATTGAAAGAGAAGCATTTTTTTTTTGAAAACCTTTTCCCAAAGCCTGTCCGGGTGATCAGAGCTGTCAACGACTCTCTGAATCGACTTTATTTGCTTTCTTTTCCACATTCGCCCATTTTTAGTTCCCACTTCAATGAGGAACCATTCTATTAATGAAAACGATTCTGATTCCCTAATGAACTTGTCAAATAACTTTTTCTAGTCACAATGCAGTACATTTTGATATCATTTGCGCTTTTCACTCTCGCACAAGGACAACTCTTTGAAAGCAAAAGAAAGTAAGTCATCGATGCAAGTTGCTAAAATGTTTAGTTATCCAATCGCTCACATTTTAGATATCCAACCGCTCAGGATCTCCCGTTTTTGAAGTATGCCTCAACACAGACAAAGAAAGATGTTTTTGAAGTAATCGGAGAGCGGTAAAGTTTTCAAAATAGTAGCAAAATAGAAAGAGAAATTTCAGTCAACTTTCAATGGATGAAAAGGAAGATATTATTGCGGATATTGTCGCAAAAGACACTGAACAAGTGAAGGTAAATTCAAGAAAAAAAAATTGGATATTGAGAATAAACTTTAGAAAGATTTTGAGAAATTCCGAAACGAGGTTCGATCTAGACGAGAGAAAAAGGAGAGAGCTATTTTGGCGGTGAGTAAGCGAATTGCCGTAAATAATCTAATAGAACGCCATAATGACAGCCGCCAGGTGTACAGTCGCGTAGTCTAAGTTTGAATTCGTCCATTCACCACGCTGCTTTAAGCTACAGTGTGCGCTTGGGTCAGGCTGTGATAGCCCTTGAAGTCTAGTATTTTTTGGTACGAAGAGGTGGCGTTCTATTAGAGTATTTATACTCTATTGTGGCTCTATTTAGGCTCTATTGTAGGCTCAATTGTAGGTATTCTATTGCAGGCTCGAGGTCGAATGAGTGATCAAGCAGCTGTTGCTGATGAGTATATCGAGGGGATTGTTAGAGTATGTTATTATTTAAAAGTTAATGTAGTTCTTGTAGTCACTGTAGTTTATTGTAAAACCTACTGTAGTCTTAAAATACAAACGCCAAACTTAGACTACGCGACTGTACACACCTGTCATTATGGCGTTCATTGATTTTAGAACGGAGATCTGAATCCGGTTGAGAAGAAAAAGATGATTGGCGACATAATGAATGGATTAGCGGAAAATGTGCGTCGAGAGCTGTACAAAGTGCATGTTGGCTTGAAGAAAGTGATGAAGAGAGCGCTGAAGTTTGTGAGGAAATGGAAACAAAATCGATTTCATTTTCAGAAATATCAAGCGAAAGAAGGGGAAATCGGATGATCAGACAGCATTGGAGGTAAAAAGAGATTTCAGAACTATTTGAGTCAACTCAAAACTACTTGAGTCAACTCAGAACTACTTGAGTCATCCACTTGTGAGCAAATTTAGTATATCGGAAGACTCATTAGTATCTGATCGATCCAGACATTCTTGTGAATCTAAATCT